GGGCATCATGGTTCAGGGGGAGCAAGGAAGAATCACACCCAAGATAACCAACAATACAGCGTGCCTATTATGGACAGAAGTTAATGTGAGCAAAGGTCAAATGGTAAACTAAGAACAGTATACTCAACCCAGACATACCCAGCACCCATTGTCAGTCATTACAGGCAATGGTTTTTGAAATAAAAGGATGATATAATGTGTAGCTGGACTATCTTTGGACTGCCAGCTCTCATGTACTGACATAGAGACTTATTCGTTATGAAAGCTTGGCCTTACTTAGCTTAGGCTTGTTCCCACCAACCTCTTAACCTATTTATATTCATCTATGTTCTGCCACCTGGCTCATTACCTCTCTTCCATTCTGTACATCGGATTGCCTCTGCTTCTCCCTGGTGAATTCCACCTCTCTTCTTCCCAGAGTTCCAGTGTCCTCCCAGAAATCCTGCCTAGCCTCTCTGCCTGGCTGTTGGCCATTCAGCTCTTAAACCAATCAGAAGGTGCCTTGGTAGAGACACATCTTCACAGTGTACAAGAAAATTATCCCACAATAATGTTGCTATTAAATGTAAAAAAAAATACTGTTCTGTGAAAGAAACAGCCAATTAAAAGAGTTCCAGTGGCCAAAGTAGGGACAATTTGAGTAGCAAAATAGGCTATAGTATTAGAACATAACCCAAAGTGAAGTGAGTCTGTTCTGTAGCACGGCCTGTTCTGGAGTCAGTGCTGATGGAGACAGTAGACCCTCAGGACTGGAAGTTGACTCCGAATCCCTCCTAGGTCCTCAAAGCCATGGATGCTCAGGTCTTAGTTGGCTGGCAGAGTATTCACACATAACCTCCATAAGTCCTCCCGTGTATGTTTTATCTCTTGAGGCTGAGGATGAAGCTTGGTCATAGAGTGCTTATCTAGCATATGAGGCTCAGAGTTTAATCCCAAATACTGCCCCTCCCCCAAACCTCTAGGTCAGTGGTTCTCAACCTGTGGGTAACTACCCCCTTAGGATTGCATATCAGATACTTAAACTACAATGTAATACAGGTACTACAATTTATAACATGGTTGGGGGGTCACTGCGACAGGAACTGTATTAAAGGGTTGCAGCGTTAGGAAGGTTGAGAACCACTGCTGTAGATTGTTTATAATTCCTAATAGAACATGAACGCCATGTCGATAGCAGCTGAGCTGTATTGTTTCAGGATTAACAGTGAAGAGGAAAGTCTGCACATGCTCTGTGTGGACATCAGTTTTTCTAGTATTTCTGGTTCTCTGTTGAATTCATGGACTGGGAACTGCCGGTACAAAGGGCTGAATAAAGGAATTAATGAGTAGTAAACAAATCTCCTGTGGGGAATTTCAGCTAATTGATTTGCTCCACCCTCAAATTACGGAGCCTGATGTGGGCTAACCATAGTGACTCCTCTCTAGGGCACATGAGAAGGGAGGGAAGAAGAGTTTGGATCAAGATCAACATTGTCATGACTTCCCTCTGGTTTTCCTCCCCAGAGCTAAGCTGAGTAATCAAAAACGTCACACCAACCCCAGTTGAGGACAGTCTGGCCCCTTACTGTAAAAGTTTAACAGCGGTGGATGTATAGAAACTTTGTGATTTGTGATTTTTCTGTCAATCTAAAAATTAAAGTTTTTGCTGGCAGTAGTGGCACATGCCTTTAATCCCAGCACTCGGGAGGCAGAGGCAGGCGGCTTTCTGTGAGTTCAAGACCAGCCTGGTCTACAAGAGCTAGTTCCAGGTCAGGCTCCAAAGCTACAGGAGAAAACTTGTCTTGAAAAACAACAACAACAAAAAAATGGTTATATATACTAATATATATATATAATATATATATATATATATATTATATATATAACATATGCCTATATACGCCCTGTGTACATGCAGGAGCCCAAGGAGGTCAGAAGAGGTAGTAGATCCCCAGGAACTGGAATTACATACAGATGGTTGTGAGCAGCCATGTGGGTACTGGGAATCAAACTCTGAGAGAACAACCAGTTCTCTTACACACTGAACCATCTTTCTAGCCTCTTTTTTTTTCTTTTAAGATTTATTCATTTATTATGTATGCAGTGTTCTGTCTGCATGTGTGCCGACACACCAGAAGAGGGCACCAGATGTCAGATATGATTGTGAGCCACCGTGTGGTTGCCGGGAACTGAACTCAAGTCCTCTGGAAGGGCAGCCAGTGCTCTTAACCTCTGAGCCATCTCTCTGGCCTCCTGTTTTTTTCCTTACCGAGACAGAGTCTCATGTAGCAGCCTCGAGTTAGTTATATAGCTGAGGCTGGCTTAAAACTTCTTATCCTCTAGCCTCTATAGACTTGAACCACCACATCCACATTATCTGTGCTAGGACATGAACTCGGGGCCCCATACATTCTAGGCAAGCTTTCTATCATTCATTGATCCACACTCGAAGTCAAAGGCTTATTTTAAAATACGCTTTATTATTATTATCATTATTGTTTTCTGTTTGGAAGAAGGGTCTTGCTATAGCCCTAGCTGGCCTGGAACTCACTAGGTAACCCAAGCTTGCACTGAACTGATCCTCCTGAGTGCTGGCTTACCATGGTTATTCTTATGGTTGTTTTTAAAGTTGTGTTTGCTTAGGAGTTACTGAGGGCAATGAAAAGTTCCCATTAAACTGAACTCTGTTCCTGCCTGATCTTGTTCTTGGATATGCCAGAGTGGCAGGAGGAAGGAATCTCGACTGTCTGATCCCAGTTCCTGTACCAGCTGGTGAAGAGCTCAAGTGAAGCTGTCCTTGTGGGAAATGAGGAAGATGTCCAGGAACCGGTTAGACATGCTGCGACTGGTTGCCACCAGGACTGCGGTTAGCTCATGGAGACTTACATCACAGCCTTGCTGTGAGGAATCAAGTGTCACAGCAGGGTGGCACACACTTCATTCAGAGACTGACACTCTATACAATGGATCATACATGGCATGAGGTCCTTTAGAAGGGACTGGGGACATAGTCCAATTGCTAGAGTTTGCCTGGCCTTCATAAAGCCTTAAGTTCAAGCCCCAGCACTGAGTAAACCAGGTATGGTGGTGCCCCACCCCACCCCTCCTGTAACCTCAGCACAGGAGGTCAAGGCATGAGGATCAGGAGTTCAAGACTAGCCTCAGCTACAGAAGGAGTTCAAGGCCTGGACTGCATGAGACGCCATCTCAGAAGAAAAGAAGGATGGGGTAGGCCTGTCCCTTTTGCTGTCACCATCTCGTCCCGCTGAAAGATGGGGCCTGGAATTCCAGACACCAGTCATCCAGCCCTGGAAGACATAAACTGCCCCTACCCTTAGGTTACCCTTGTACCTCTTCATCTAGAAGTCTGGGGTGACAAGGGGTGACAAAAAAGCAAACAAACAAACAAAAAGTCTTTGAGCAGTTTGGAGGTAGCAGGTCTGGGCTCAGGTGGACTCCACCACCCAACAACAGAGACTTCAGTGAGTCACTTAGCTCTCTGACCTGTTTTTCTCGTAAACACAGGTCACACACCTGCCTCACCTGTTTGGTGAGGCTGCACCAAGGGTCAGAGGGCAGAAAAGAGTTCAGGCAGATGGCCATGGCTCATCACTGGTGAGGGGAAGGAGGATGCTGTTTCTCCAGTAGTAGCTGGGGGCCTTTGTGGCCTCAGTAGTGATCTGGGATAGTTTTAGACCATCCAAATGCTCTCACTTGCAAGTACAGCTCTACCTGGATTGTTGATGAGTGCATCATAAGTTGAAGATCTGACCTCAGAACTGTACTCACAAGCTGGGTGCCGTGGTACACACCTTTCATCCCACCCCGTGGAAGACTGAAGCGGAAGAGTCCTGTGTTCTAGACCAGCCTGGGTTCATAGACTGTCAAAAAGTAAGAAGAGCACTGACCGCACCTAACCTGCCAAGCATTGTACGAAACCTGTTCAACATGTGTTGCCTTCATAATCCCATGGAGTCAAAACAGTGTAAGTTGACTGTTTATAATGGTAAATGCAACTCAGATTGGCTCACATGACTGAAAATACAGATAGGGCCTTGGGGTCAACGCTCAGGCGTTTCCTCGTCTCCTGGGAGCCTGTATGTGCTCACTTCTCTGCCTGCCTGCCTGCCTGCCTGCCTGCCTGCCTTCTAAGAAGAAATGACCACACGTACCACTGTCCCATGAGGAGACAGTCAAGTGTGCAAGGCTTCTTTGGACTGTTTCAGGTCATGTTCTTGGCTCTGGATCAATCCCCAGGACTAAACCAGGCTGCCTGGCTTATCTGTGGTTACTGTCAATCCTGAGCAAGTAGTTAAAGCAGAGACAGGTCAAGATGGCTGACGGGGCTGGAATGGAGGGGAGCTGTCCACTCCTGGTTTCTGTCACTAATCCACTGTGGGGGCCAGCGGCCATCACTAGCCTCCTAAGTACCCATTTCCCCTGTTGACTGATTTTAATTTGAACTTGTGGTTTGAACGAGAATGTCTCTACTTCGTGTTTGGGATTAAAGATGAACTCTCTCAGCTTTCTGTTCCCGCCATTGTGCCTGCCCCTTGCTGCCATGATGGACTTTTATCCCTCTAGAAGTTACCTTCGGCCATGTTTTAACACTGCAACAGAAAGTAACTTACACAGAGCTTCCTTCTTTCCCCAGTAATTGTGCTTGTTTGAGACAGGGCTTCTAGTAGATTTTTAAAGGTTTGGTGTTTTTTATTTTTTCTTACTCTTTTTGGTTGATGTTGTTTGTTTTTCTTTTTTCTTTTTTTCCCCAAAATAAGTCTAGGTAGCCTGGGGTGACCTCTAACTCACTGTATAGCTGAGGGGGACCATGAATTTTACTTGCGCCTCTCTCTCTCTCTCTCTCTCTCTCTCTCTCTCTCTCTCTCTCTCTTTCTCATTGTTGTTTTGAGACAGGATCTCACTATGTATTATATATCCCTGGCTGGCCCAAAAGTCACTCACATGTAGACTAGGCTGGCCTTGAACTCACAGAGATCCACCTGTCTCTGTGTTCCAAAAGCTAGATGAAAGGCATGTGCTACCACACCAGCTGGCCTTAGTGATCCTGCCACCTCCACTTCTCCAGTGCTGGGATTCTAGGCTTGCAACACTGCATCTGGGTTTTCATCCCCATTCTTAATATTGTGTGCTTCTGATGGCGTCTCTTTGCCCACTGGAGAGAGAAGCAGGTGACCAGGATATAGGCCCAAAGCTAGTGAAGCACAGTAGACCCCACTGGGAAGAAAGGCTGGGCTAGCACTAGATACTCATCTGCTAATCTTGACACCAAGAGGGGGTAAGGCATGGAACCTTCCCTTCAGCTCCAACACTCTGTTTTAGAGTATTAATCTATTTATGTGTGTGCACACACATATGTGCACATGCATACCACAGTACATGTGTTGAGATCAAAGGACGATTTATAGGAGTTAGTTCTCTCCTTTTGCTAAGTGGGGTCTAGGGATCAAACTCAGGTTATCGGGTTACTTTGCAGCCCAAGCTAGCCTTGAACTTGGGCTCCTTCTTGTCCCTGCTTCCAATCCTGCAATTACAGGTGCACCACCAATACAGCTGTCAGTTTCACCGTTGTCTTCAGTTGTGTGTTCTCCAAGGCAGCAGTGAACACTCCTGAGCAGTGTGTGTGAGTGACCGCAATGCTTAGCCTGAGGCTTACCAACCGAATGCATCTGTTTGATTGCACAGTACACAGTAAGCATCCTGGCCATGAAGATACGGCAGAACACTAAACGGATACAAATGAGTTGGCATCTCTACCAGGGCAAACTGCAGCCCATGGGCCAAATCTGGGCCACCACCTGTCTTCATAAACACAGCCTGGCTTGGGACCCAGCCACACTCCTGTGGTTTTGTGGTGGAGCTGAGTTGAACAGTTGCAAGAGAACATGTTATGAAGATATGGCAGTTCCCCCTGAAGCACCCCTCTTTCCCCAGATGGAAGCAACACTGTCATAGCTCCCAGACCAGCTTCAGAAGAGCAAACATCCCTGAGTCAAACCCATCCTGGAAGGAGGTAATTGAGAAGTGCCAGTCCGTGCCTTCGCTGAGCTGTGCTCCGCGCAGCTGAGCTGTGCTCCGTGCAGGAGTTGCATCTTTTGAGGCCACATTGAGAGTCTAGACAGCACGCAGGTATAAACACATCCGATCCCTATTTGGAGCTTTGATCTGTTCCTCTGGAGTCAGAAGCTGGAAGCTATGGCGAGCTCCTGTCATTTCCCAGAACACACCGTGGCAAGAGGTGGGTCTAGTGACACTAAGCTCTTTAATCTGCATGATGGAACGTTAGCATTATGGACCAGACACCCAACCCTTGAAGCCAGTGGATCCTGCCTCTAGCTACAGCCACACTGCACTCAGGGCTGTCGAACACCTGCTACTGCTGCTGCCTTTTTAATTTGTGTTGCTGGCTATAAAACCCAAGTAGTCTACAGCCAAGCTGTTGTTTTTGGCCCCAGACACCTCCATCTCTAGTCCCTGGCTACTAAGCTCCTGCCAGAAGTACAGTCTATACCGTTAGTGTGATAGTGTGATGGGCATGCAGCCAACCACCACTCAAGGTTTCCTCCCTTAAGGATTTTATTTTGCATGTTTTTTTTCCAAGTATGTGTATGCCACATGCATGCCTAGTGTGCACAGAAACCAGAAGACAATGTTGGATCCCCTAGAATTGGAATTAACATGCAGTTGTGAGCCGCCACGTGGGTGCTAAGAACTGAACCCAGATCCTTTGGAAGAGCAACAAATCCTCTGAGCCACAGAGTCATCTCTTCAGGTTTCTTTTTTAAATTATTAACTTATTTGTGTGTGTATATGCAAGCATGCATGCAGGTATGTGCATATACGCATGCATGCAGATGTGTGCATATACGCATGCATGCACATGCATGTCACAGTGCGCATGTTGAGGTCAAAGGACAAATTGTAGGGCTGCTTCTCCCCTTTTGCCATTTTTGATCCCAGGGACCGAACTCAGGGAGTCGGGCCTAGTGGCAGGCATTACCTCATGAGCCGTCATTGTGCCTCCGCGTCTCCATGTTGCTTAAATTTTATCTCTGATGACATAAAACACCAGGAAGCAACAAAGCTAGACCCAAGTGAGGCTAGCCCTTGGCAGAGGGCCTTCCCTGGCACTGGTATTTAAACATCTTGTGTATGGTCTTTCTGCCAAGTGGCTTCCTATAGGGTACTACTATACTGTCTGCCAAACAGCTTAGACAAGGGTGTTCTGGCCCTTAGTGTCCTTAAGGCCTATATGACAAATCTGTTATGGAATTTGTCACCAGGAAGAGACTCAGCAACTGGCATGTTGCTTTCATCCACTTGAACTCTGCAATAGCCCACCCTGGTCTTTTGTTCTGTCTTGACCCTAGGAAGCTCTAGTTAACCCAGTTCTGAGAGCCACCATCTTCCTTCCTCCTTCAGACTCCTGGGCCAGTCCAGTCAGTCCAGGTGTTGAGTTCATAACCCCCATGGCATGGCGGATCAGGCGGACTTCATGGTGCTGTCGTAATGACACAGGAAGATACGCTGCTGTCTCATGCTTCAAAGGACGCCTAAGAATAGATGGTGCAGCTCCGCAGTCACAGACCCAGAAGACACGGGCTACTGGTCAAGGACAGCTAGGACCAAAGGCAAGATCTAAAATGAAGATCATTGAAGGATCTGTGGCTCAGGCTAGCTCTCTGGCTCCGGACATCTGCACTCCTTCCAAAAGGCAGTTCTGGGAGCTCTGCCACCAGGTGGGAGCTGGGGCTCATGTCGACTCTGCAGCCCCAGATAAGTCCTAGGCTAAGCAAAGAGGAGGCATCTCAGTCCCAGCCCGAGACTGCAGAAACTGGGCCCGAATTGCTGTCTTCTTGGGACTGTTGGAATCTGGGAAGAGCAAGATCAACCATGGGGTTAAACATTAATCTCAGCAGAGGAGACGATCTGGTAATGGAGACGCCCCAGCACAACCGAGACTCTGGATGCAGGAGGCTCACAATAGAGCAGCGATAAAGGATGGAAGGAGGGGGCTGGTAGTTCCTCTCTGACCTTGAACTTGGCCATGTCCACAGAACTGTGGCTAGATTCTCACCTGATGTTACTCAGAAACAAGGCTCCGATGAGAAGACTGCTTCAGAAAGCACTCTCTAGAACTGCCACCTGGGGGGGGGGGTTCACCCTGGCTGATCTAGGAATCCTGCCTTCTGGTGCCAGGAAGGGCTGGCAGGATCCTCACGTGAACACATCTGTGGTAGTCTGGCATTTGTTAGTAGGAACATATTTCCTGGAGTCAAATGCTATGTTCGTAGTGTCTTCTGCTGAGGCCCCACATGACAAAATATGGATCAAACCAAATCTGAGACTTCTCTCCAGGCCCACCCGAAGGCTGAATTAGGAAGCTCTCTAGAGAAGGAAGCTGAGAAACGGTAGTACAAGCCTGAGACGCAGAATCGGGGCGCAGCCTTTCTTCGCTCCGTTGCCCAGCTCCACCTGCCCTTCCGGGTCCTGCTCCTGGGGGTGAAGACATCTCAGTTCCAAGTGGTTTCCTGACCCCAATGACTGCAGTTATCTTTGGTGCCTTGGGCTGCTGGTGCTGAGCCTTCCCCTACTGTCAGTGGTGGACAAACAGATTTGGACATATTAGATGGCATCCTAACCCTTTTAGTAGAATAGACATTGCCAGGGTGAGAGTTGCATTCAGAATGCAACTGGGTTATTTGCATGGGTGGAGTTTCCTCTGAGGTCATCTCCTTTCCCAAGGGGCAAGCCACAGAATGTTACTTTCTTGGCCTTCCTTGTGAGACGGCCCTTCTAGTAATGGCAGATTCCAGTGATACTCATGGCAGTCCCTACCTATGGCCTGGATGTCCACCCAGCAGCCCTATGCAATGCCAGAGCGAAGTTTCTTCCATGGTTAGAGACAAGCACAGATGTCAAAATTCAATGTGTGGAGAAGGTGGCCAAGGGGAGAATGCAGTTCTATTCCGTTCATATGCAGGAGACAGCAAATCCCCACAAGCAAATGGGCATCTGGAAGGAATTTTCTTGGTACAGATAGAAGAGATAGCGTAGAGGGCTAGAGGACTTGCTGTCCTTCCAGAGGATCTGCATTTGGTTCCCAGCATCCACCCTGAACCCACTAAAAACCACCTGTAACGCCAGAGCCAGGGCATTTGGCGCCCTCTTCTGGTCTCACATTCACACACACAGACACACATTCTCACATACACACATGTATGGGTATACACATACACATCCAAATTTTTTTCTTAAGAAAAAGGAAAAAAAAGACAGCATAGAAAATGTTACTCTTTTATTATTTCAAGGAGGTAATACATAGCCCAGTACACCAAAGCAAGAGGGAATCAGAGGCAGCAAATGGTCAGTGGTTTCGGGAAGAGCCTCATGCTGCGCCCCCAAGCTCCTGTCTGCCCGCTCACATGAAGGCTGGGACTGTAGCAGTGGATGGATGACCAAACTCAGCCCCCTGCTGACTGAAAGGGCGGCATAGAGGCAGCTCCAGGATTCAGCACACTGGCAGTGCTTGCCCTACCACCCAAGACCACCATCACCACGGCAGCCAGCTTGCCTAGCACTGATTCAGTTTCAGTGAGCTTGGGGTGGGCAGGGCAGGGATAATCCTGAGTCATCAATTCAGATGAACACCTTAGTAGTGTTAATACCTTGGATGAGAAAAGACAACACTGTTTTGGGGGTGGATGAGGGAAACGAAGGAATGGAAGGAGCCGGGGCTGTAGTACTGCCTGGAGGAAGAAGGGGGGGCCTCTCCAAGTACATGATGGGGAGAGGCAGGGGCTGGGCTCTGGGACAGGCTGCTTCCTCTGGCACAGAGTTGGCCTAGAGGTTGATTTTCCAATCATAATTGGTTACCTGGGTCTAGTTATCATACCTAGGACAAAACAAGTCTTGCTTACACCAGAGATGGCCTTAGAGAGATGCCTGGCTCGGTTCTCCCAGGTTGTGGGGAGGAACTCCAGCTAAGACCCTTCTCCTCCATTCCCAGCCGCTGTCCTTTGCAGATGACTGGGGTGAAGGAGACAAACAGGTGCTGCTATAGCCCAATGGTCTTTTCCAGGGAGCTCACGCAGGCTCGCAGCCCCACCCTGGCATGGCACGGAGCTGACATTTCTACCAAGTGGGTACCATCTGGTGACTGAAAGGTGGTGTGCAGGTGGGCGTCACAGCAGGGGCTGCAGCGCTGAGATACTCACACCCTCCATTTCAGCATGGTGGGCCAGGCTGCTGGCTGCCAGGAGAGGTGGCTTCTTCCCAGCATGCACTGCTCTCCTCCAACCCCACTACGCAGGGCTCACAGAGTTTTGGCTTGACAGGTATGAAAATAATTTTAAAAAAATCACACCACTGTGTATTCCAAACCCAGAGCTGATGGCTTTGTTTTGTTTGACAGGCAAGGACAAAGAAACCACAACTCCACAGTGGCCGAGGCTCATATAAGCTACCCAGACGGAGAAACCTTGTCTGACGAGGGAGCTGGGGGAGCCATGCAGTCCTCTAGTCGGTGGTCAGATCTGAGGTCAACTTGTCTTCACATTCCTCAAAGCCTGGGACTGGCTTCTGCAGAAAGTGTGTGGTGGCCTGGATCACCTTGTCGGGCCCAATGTTGTAGACCGGGTGAGTGGGCTGCTGCAAAGAGAAGAGACAGGAGTTCATCACCACTCTTGGTTGGCTGGAATTCACCCGACGAACTTAGACTAAAGGAGCAAGAGTGATCCACACACGGGCTTACTCCAGGCCCAAATGTGCAAAGACCGCTATCCGCTGGAAACATTTCATAGTACACACCACGAGGGAACATAGCACGGCCACTTACAGATGTACTTTCACATATGTTAATGACATAGGCAATGCTCACGCTTATCTGAAATACATTTTGGAGTTTGTTGGACTTTGGAATATCCACATTGACTTTACCTGTTACACGCAGCACCGCACACGTTAAGTATGTGTCCACCTCTAAGCTACGTCTCTTGCTCCAAAACCTTTTCTTAAGCATAATTTTTTTTATTACTAATATTTTTTTTTTACTAAATTTATTTTTAATTAGCAGACAAAACACTTGCGTTTGTTACAGCATTTTCTTCATTTCATTCTGTTTTTAAGAGGCTGGCTAGCCCAGGCTGACCTCAGATTTGCTGTGTAAGCTGGGTTTGAACTCTTGATCTTCCTGCTTTCACCTGTAGTGCCACAGGTGTGCACTGGCTTTCATGGTGACATCTTCATGTATACTTTATGGTTTGCATCTTGGCCCCCACTTCTGCTGGTCCCCCAACTCTCCCCAAATAGTGACCCCTTTGGATTTCATGGCACATATATCACACTGCCCTTCTTCCTTCCCTTAATACCTCTAACATAGAAAGGTCGCATTTTCTCTCATATGGAGCCCAGATCAAAAGAGGGAAGAAGAGAGGGGTGAGGAACATTGTAACTTTTAACAGTTAAAGTTCATACGTAAACGCACTGTATGCGGATCATATCCCCCATAGCCCGCCTTCCCTCTTAGCACCCCTTCCCCACCCGTTAATTCCCTTTGTCCCCATTGACAGCTTGATGTCGAGTTTCATGTCATCGATACATGCACGTCTGATGTGTCTGTATACAGCCCAGGACCCACAAAGAGAGAAACCATGGACCTTCCTGAGACTGCTCCATTCACTTACTGTGTTTCCAGCTGCAACCATCAATCCTGCAAACGACATGACTTCATTCTTTATGGAATGAAGAGCCCATCTTTCTGACGGGATGTACCCTCCCCATGCTGCAATTACAGGTGCACACACAGCTCCCGGCTCTGAACTCTCTGAGAGCCACCACGACGACCCTGGAAAGCTGTACCTTTTCAAGCATTTTGGATTAAATGCTCATATGTGGGCAAACCACCGCACAGAAGCATCTGGAAACCCCTTTGTTTCTTATGGGTTTTGGTTGTTTTTTGTTTGTTTGTTTGTTTTTGTTTTTGAAACAAGGTTTCTCTGTAGCTTTGGAGCCTGTTCTAGAACTAGCTCTTGTCAACCAGGTTGGCCTTGAACTCACAGAGATCTGCCTGCCTCTGCCTCCTAAGTGCTTAAGAAAAAGGAAAAAAAAAAGACAACATAGAAAATGTTACTCTTTTATTATTTCAAGGAGGTAATACATAGCCCAGTACATCAAAGCAAGAGGGAATCAGAGGCAGCAAACGTGTGTGCTACCACTGCCTGGCCTGAAAGTTCCTTTCAAAACATGCTTACAGCTGTGACAGGGAGAGCAGGGGCTGGCCAACCCTGGGCACCCACCAAGACAGCCGTCACTCTTTGTATGCTTGTGTTTCAGTTATTAAAACGGTGAACATCTGTGTTCATAGTTAACAATAAAGAACACAGCTCTTTCTGAGGGTGAGAGTGTCAGGTCATATTTCAATTCTTTTACATTATTTCCCTACATCACAGAAAAATTTAAAGTCTGAGCAGGACAGGATTTTAGAGAAGTATTCGGGGCCCTCTCTAGGAGAGTGAGGAGGAGGAGGAGGAGGATACAGCTGCAGAAGATTTTCACTTTCTTTATACACACCCCCATCCTGTGTGGGGAGGGTCAGAAGACAGCATGTGGTCGGTGGAGTTGGTTTGCTCCTATTGTATAGGTTCCAGAGTGAGCTCAGGTTATGAGGCCTGGCAGCGAGCACCCTTACCTGCTGAACCATCCTGCCAGCCCCTCATTTATTTAGACACAGTATCATGTATCCTAGGCTGGGCTCCATGTAAAAGGACTGCAGCTAAGAATGAGTGAATTTCTGATCTCCTGCCTCCACCTCTCAAGTGCTGGGTGCCACCATGCTTGGTTTATACAGTACAGAGGGACCTGGGGTTTCCTGCGTGCTAGGTGAGCACTCAGCGGCTGAGCTACAGGCCTAGCCCTTCGCCTGTACAAAATCTCCAAGAGACAAAGAGAGGGAAGCTGGACATTGCAGTGAACACCTTTAACCCTAGCACTCAGGAGATAAAGCAGGCAGATCTCTGTGAGTTTGAGAGTTCTAGGCCAGCCAGCCAGCACTGCAGAGTGAGACCCTGTCTTAAATGGGGGAGGGGCTGAGGCAGAAAGCTACGCATGGAATTTTATGAGGTCAGCATATTTTAAAACACAAATTGAAAAACACATTATAATAAAAAATACCTATCAATCTTAAAAACATTTTTCTATTTATCTACTTGGTGTGTGTGCTGCAGGGCACACACGTGATAGCGTTCAGATGGCAGTCAGAAGACAATGTGCAGGGATCAACTCTACCTAAAGTCCAATGTGGGTTCCAGGGACTGAACTCAGGTTATCAGCCTTGTGTGGCAACCCGCCGAGCCATCCCACTGACCCTCAGGTGTGTCTGAGAAAGATTTGGAACTGACCTTGACTGAGGGTCTGAGGAGATGGCTCAGCTAGTGAAATACCTACTTTGAAAACACAAGCGACTGAGTTTGATCTCTGGTTCCATGTGAAAAGCCACGTATGGTTGGTGCATTAACAATCTCAGTACCAGGGAGGCAGACAGGAAGATCCCTGGGGTTTACTGATTGGCTTGGGGGTTACTGATTTACAGCCTGGCCCAAGAGGCAAGACCCCAGTCCCAGTGAGGTGCTCAGGTCCAAAAACAAGGTGTGCAGCTCCTGAGGAATGGCACCTGAGTTTGCCCTCTGGCCTCCACCTGCACACGTGCCCCACCAAAGGCTGAACCAGGTGTAGTGGATGCAGCCTATAATCCCAACTACCCCAGGAGGCAGGGCTAGAAAACTGATACAAGTTCAAGGCCAGCCTGGTCTACAGTGTGACTGCTCCAGAGTGGCACAGCGGCACCTGACAAAGGAATGACTTTTCAGCTGGCTGGCCTCTATTTGCACGTCAGCTTGAAACATTCCCCAGTGCGAACAAAAGCCAGGCGAAAAGGTAAGGCTCAGTATTGATATCTGTTGGAGGCAGAGCTTCACAATCTGGGTGGCTCTGTGGATGGTCTCAGCTGCATTTGTTTCTTGGGCTCATGTCTAGGCACAGAGTGTCGCCTTCTGCCAGGCTGCCGTAGCACGGGTCATGGTAGGCAGCATCCTGTTCTTTTCTTGTGGAGCTGGGGGCGGAGCTCACGGCTCTTCAGACTCACCTCTGCATGGACCCAACCCATGAACTACATGCCTAGCCTCAGACCGCCACCATATGGGGGAGGCATACACACATGAAACAAATACATGGCAAGTTGACGTGTGCTACTGCGGTATGGCAATGTGGGCAGTCCATCCTCTGACAAGAGGGCATCCAAGCTGAGACATGAAGCCAGCGACACAGTGACTGGAGTACCCTGCCCATGCTAGAGGTCCCCAGGCTCTAAGAAACATCTATGTTTGCCTTAGAAGGTCACCTTGTTAGAGGAATAAATATCTCTGTCCCAGTTCAGACCACTGAAATCCCGCCTCTGCCTGGCCCTGCATCTCCGCCATTCGCACCTTCACTCATAGGCTGCAAAATGCCAGAGGGTGGGACCTACACGGGAAACAGCCAGCTGTGCAGGACACAAGTGGCCACACTGAAATGAGGTCCCCTGACCTGGAAGACCTTGCAGAAAAGGGGTGTTTAATTGTCATGGCCAAAGAAGTTCCATTTTATGTTAGGCATCTGTTGGAGAAGGCCCGCTTGTTGATTCCCAGCCGCCCGGCTAGCTTAGACCCGAAATAATCACACAGAACTATATTATTTAAAATACTGTTTGACCTATTAGCTCTAACTTATCAGCTAGCTCTTACATTTTAATTTAACCCATCTCCATTAATCTGTGTATCACCACATGGAAGGCCTTAACTTTAACACAGTAAAATTACATATAGTAAAACAGTTATCAAGCAAGAATTACAGTTACAATATTCATATCTACTTTGTCTTTTATCATAAAGTATCCATTCTTCTACTCCACCAAAGACTCCAGAAGGATATAATGTTACCTAAGGATCCATCTTGGTACCCACCTGTCACCCATCTCTGACTCCAGTTGGTGGAAGATGAGTTCCCAGTAACCCAACTTTATGACCCCCATCCAAAGTTGTTCAGCCGTGACTGTCTGTTCTGATATAACTACCTCCTTTTTTTGCTTCTGCAACTTGTTTATGCAGAGACCCAAAGATTGTTTTGGATTCCCCCACTATTTTTTTAAAAAGGACCTATATAAAAAATAGGATGACTAAAGTAATTAAAGATGTCTAACTCTTCAACTTCTCCCCTTGCTTGGTTCTTGTTTACAAAGAAAAAGATAATGGATATTCAAAACTCTTGCTAAATGTAGACATCCTTCCTCTCAGGATTTCTAAGACCATTGTGGGGTGGGGGGTGCTAAAAAATTCCAAGCACCCACCAGCCATTTGTTGCTGACTTCAGTCCCTGGAAGGTAAATTCCCAGTAACCTTGACTCAGTGACCCCCACCCAAAAATGTACAGCCAAGACTATCAACTTGTTCTGATGTAACGACCTGCTATTTTGTTTATGCTGATACCCAAAGATTGTTCTGAGTTGTTGTAATCACTTTGCTTGGCAGAATGGAACAGGTTTTGCTTGAATAGATAGGGAAAGTCTTTACTTGGTTTTCCTCTTTAAAAGTCCGTCCCCACACCCTTCCTCCATAGCAATCTCAAATTTGGCTCAGAGATCCATCCTGCTAGCAGTTAACCAATGGAATCATTGAATTATAATTGGATTGAGTCTATGGTCTTTTCCTAGGATCACAAACTCCACAGCGGAACCCCTACCTGCCTTACCAGAGCATTTTCAGGTACACCCATGACCACGTCGTGCAGCAAGGCTCCACTTCCGAAATGCTGGGCAATGGATAAGCCACTCAGGCAGTAGCAGGTGTGGTAGAAGTCACGTGACCTGCAAGGACAGACAGCTCTGAGAAGCCTTGTCTCCTCCCTACCACCCTCTCCAAATACTGCCAGAGGAGTCCAGAGGCCTGTCTGTGAGGCAGCCCTGCTCTGACCCTTTCCTCTACAGGACTGGAGGAAGCATGGCTGTTCCCAGCAGTGGGTTTAAAGGTCCCATTTCCCAACCTTGCCTAACAATGGGACTCTAGTTTTTTCTTTCTGTTTTGTTTGTTGGAGGGATGAAGGTGGAGCTCGGGGCTTCCCACATGCTAAGCCAGCACACCATCCCTGCTGAGCGACACCCTCAGCCGTGGGAACTGTCATTTGGTCCTCCCAGCCCTCTGGGAAGGGCTCGCCAGTGGTAGTACTAAGTTAATGTATTTCTCTAGAAAAATTCACGAAATGTCTAGAATTCGATCACACTCCTCTTGATAATCTGCTGGGCAAACCTTCCCCTGAGCAGCAGTAGTGGTGGTGGCAGAGGTGTTTGTATGCCTAGCATACCGGAACATCTCAGATTTTAGTTACCTTCTTTCTTTACTCTACCATACACAATACACCACATCTGCATTTGGTCATTTAATCTACTCTAGCACGGTTGCTGGACTGCACTCTGTTAACAGCACTCATTGGCTCCAGAGGCCATTCTGTTTTGCTGTTTTATATCGCACAGGACAACCCCAGAATGACATACATGCTAAGCAAATGTTCCATCTATTTCTCCATCCATAGCCTAGACCAGTTAAATGGATTTAACAAGGAAAATGCAACAATACAGTAAAGGAAGCTGGGTATAGTGGTGCATGCCTTTAATCCCAGCACTGGAAGACAGAGGCAGGTGGTGAATCTCTTGAGTTCAAGGCCAGCCTGGTCTACAGAATGAGTTCCAGTACAGCCTGGGCTATACAGAGAAACCCCATCTCAAAAAAAAAAAAAAAGAAAAGAAAAAAAGAACCAAAACTAGTAAAGGAAAGCTACCAAGCCAGCAATCCATTTGTCTCTCTGGGGGAGTAGGAAGGTGCATATGAGCTGAGTAGCCAGAAGTGAAGGCTCTGCACTGGAGAGGCTGCCTAAACCCTAGCACTTTCCCTGAACAATGTTAGTGCTAAGCGGCTGAAGGACAGGGACGCCCCAGGTTGATGGGCCTGGCTCTAAGTGAGCCAGGTGGCATATTCCCTGTCCCCGCATCCCACGTTCCCAAGAAGACACTCACTTGCCGGGCTTGTCCAGCAGGCCCCCCGCTGGGCACTGGCAGCACATCAGAATGTACTCCTGCAGGGCCTGCTGATGGAACATCCAGTGGCTCATGCTGAGGGCAGGGTCACCTGGTGAAGGACAGAGGACCCAAAAGGTGGGGCAGACATCAGTGGTTAGTCTCATCCACTCATTCTTGGTACACCGCTAGCTTCATCACGCACCCCTCCCCTGAACACGGATGCGGTATACCAGCCAGCATGGATGTAGCAGTCCCCATCTCCAGCAGTGGTCAGTGTGTCCTGAGGACATTCCCGCTAGTCCTGTGGACTCTCGAGCAGCTAAGGAACACTTACTGGGGGTAACAGCCAAATTGCTCACTCTGACTTTTCTAACCTTGAACTAAATCCATCTCGAAAAGGAAATCCCAGACTTTCCCAGGACTCAGACATTTGTCCCTGAAGGAACTACTGCTGACAGGTCCGCACCACAGACAGCACAGGCAAAAGCAACCAGCACGCTGGGAGCCGCGTGAGTTACCCTGGGTTTTGATTTTCTTTCATTTCTTCCAATAGGAATGAATCTAGCACCTTGTGCAGGCTAGGCAAGCACTCCATCCCTGGGCTACATCCCTAGGCCCCGGGCGCCTTCACTCTCAAGTTCAGCCAATACAGTGAGAGAATACTGTGAGTCACACTGTTACCTGGCAGGGAAGGAGCGCACCACCCTGGTTCTTCTGTATTTCCCTATATAGTTACAATTATAATTCTATAACCATATGTTTTTCATGTAATACATAAGCACAGACTTCTATTCTGCTACATCATCTCCATAATCATCATTGCAAATAGCGGTGAAACATCTTATTTAAGCAGGTGTACAAGGTAACCGAGAAAAGGAACAGTGCATAAAATCTCATAGATACGGGTATATAAATCCTAGAGTGGGTATAAAAACCTCTGGGTAAAATTTACAGAAGTCTAATGTGAAAACAGTGAACGAAGAGAATATAAGCAAAACAAGTGGGGCTGGGAAGACGCTCACATGGCACAGTGCCTCCTGTGCAAGCCTGAGAACCTGAGATCGGACCCCAGCACCCATGCGAGGAC